CCCCCTCAATCAAAAAACTGCTTCGCCGTCCCTGAGACGTATGCATCGCATGCATGGGTTTTTGGCTTTTCGTCAAACAAAAAAAGAATATATACTAACTCACTGACCGTCAAGACCCCAGACGTCTCAAATAGAGGCTTTGCACCATCACGTGATGGCAGCCATGACAGGAAGCACAACAATAGAGGCGTTCTCCCSTGGGAAACTGAATTCTTTCTCATGTAAATCAGATTAGACTAGATTCAATTGCTCCCGCCTCCTGTCATGGCTGCCATCACGTGATGGTGCACAGCCTCTATTATAGCCAGTTGTCTTGGTCGCGTAATAATGTATGAATAGCACGTTTCCTGAATCTTCTTATAGGAATTCTTCACCACGACTTATGTGAGACCCCTGTAGTATATTACCACCGCAGTTCAATTTTGAGGACAAAAAGATAGCATCTTACTCTCATAAGAAAAGAAATTCATTATATTTTCATCCAAATTAGATTGCACAAGGACCAGCTGCAAGGGGTGTACTAGCAAGAAATGATCAACTGATGAAAATAGAAAGTAGACTTTTTTACAAGCTTATGCATCTCGTGCGTTACTAGCCATGTTGCCTGGTCATTAGGCTTTTATGATCAACTTAGCTTAATATCATGAGAAACATTTAGAGTAAAGGCAACGGGGCTTCATCACCTGACCAAATACAAAATTACCTCGTCGTCATCAATATCTCTCATCATATTTTCAGCCTCGCTTTGATGTGGAAGTTTATTGTTAGGCAGCAGCCAATCAATGAGCTCTTCCTGTGGATAAAAAATAAAAAAATAAATTAACTTTGTTTATAGAGGATAACACTCGACAGTAATTCAACTGATAAATTCGTGGTCCCCTGTTAACGTCTCTAGTTAATTAGGGGTAGGACCGCCATTAACGTGATCATCCGAGCCACGTGAAGGTCTAACCATTTGCAGATGTAATTACAAAGGCAGCATCCTCTCAGTTATTTTAAGGACCTGAGTGTTGGTCCGGCTGAGGCTGGAACCACGACCTCCCGCACAACAGATCGACGCTCTTACCAACTGAGCTAGCCGGGTGGTGGATTATTATGATATTTACGTTAGTCTCGAAAGAGAGGCACCAAATTGCTTTACGTCACAATCGGGTTCGAGTCCTGGACTCACTATCCCATGTGAGCAGAGTTTGTTTGGTCTCTCCCTTAATTCGAGGGTTTTTCCTCCGGGGTCTCCGTTTCTCCTCCCTCAGTCTGGAAACAGGTCAAGCTTGAATTTAGCTTGTTAGTAACAAGCTAAATTCAAGCTTGATCTGTTTCCGGACTTTGATCAGCCCAGAGGTCGTTTCAGGGTATCGGTAAATGTAAAGGAGTCCAATTACTCACGTTATTAAGCTTGCCATCTTGATCGAAGTCCAGCCCCTTGAAGACTTTTTTTAATTGCTTTTTGGCATCTTCATTTATTGTAGGCAAACTTGGATCTTCACCTTTAATAGAAAGGAAAAGAACGTTTTCAAATATCGACATCTGCAAGATCAGAGGCCCAAATGTTCGACGGTTTAGTATTTTTATCAAATATTTAGATACCTGTAAATTCGTTGAATGACAGCTGTCCATCACGATCCCTGTCCATTACTTCCAAAAATTCCTGTGGAAAGAAAGTAAGTGCGCAAACTGTTCAATGTGGCGTCAAAAGCTTTTAAACATAAGCCTCTGGCTCGAAAGACCTTCCAACTCCCTGATATCAACGTAAACTATCTAAATTTACATTTTTTACAATTATTTTTAAAATAACAGGACTAATGTTGATTCTCATGACGAAGGAAATCAAGACCAACTCTTTTTACTCAATGCAAAATATATTAACCAGCATGACGTAACATGCACCCAAAGAATATGGACGCTCTCTTAACCTTAAAAAAAAAAGAAAGAAATGGGAAAACATAACATACAATAATCTGGATGAAGCAAAACATACCGTCACTACGATTCGGGACATTTGAGGAGCTTCATTAGGATGTATCATGACACCAAGCTCATAGTATGACAGCTTGTCATCTTTGTTGGTGTCTGCCAGATCAAACTTTTCCTTGTCACGCTTTTTACTCTTTTCAGAACTCTGCCTTGGCTCGGGAGCATCACCTGGAACATACAACACATTTTTTCAAAAAATTAACCGCGGATAAACCTGTTGAAATGAGAAAAAGTGTTGAGGGAACATCATTGTAAATAGTTATGTTAATAAGGATTTTAGCAAAGCAGTTCATGCACAGAATGCCTATTTTTTACCACTTGATTTGGGTTGAAATCCTGATAGAGCACCGAAGACGGCCAACAAGAAACTCTCATATACACACCTTTTTCGAAAAAGGTTGGTCATCGCCAAAATAGGAGATACAGTCAATTCAAAAAATGTTGTCGTCGACCAACTCAAGTCTACGCGACTGGACCGAAAGGAACTCTGGGTAGTAATCATTGAAGCCGAGTTGACTCCATAATTTTATCTGACTAGTTATGCCTGGTTTACAGCACGAACCTTCGTAGGCGAGCCGAAAGCGTTGAAGGAGACGTTTTTTTAATGCCTTCATACTTTCGGAATTGTGAACTGAATCATAACTACTTTATTTTTCTTTCCCTAAACCCAAAGACATGCATTTGATGGATTGTTTCTCGCCATTATTATCTTATTACTAGCGGAAACAATTTATTCAGAACGAATATTTAATCGCGTCAGTGATTTTTACCCATATTCTTTTCGGTCCAGTCGCGTAGGCTTGAGCCGGTCGACGACAACGTTTTTTGAATTGACTGTATGTCATTTCAAGATCTAAGAATAGCTATAATAACTGCAGCTTCTTATTCTTATTTTCGTCAAGAACATGGAGGTTAGTGTTGAAATATCCAGTGTCGCTTGTAATCACCTTCTAAAACATTTTAAAATACCTCGATCATTCGTGTATAGATGTATACCCATAATTCCTTTCGGTCTTCGAATGACTTATCGCGATCGCCTATCTTCTTTGGCTCCGACAACCTTTTTTGAAATACGTGTATATGACGTATTAGCCTGGGTCCCATTGGTGGGAGGCGTCTGCTCTCCCCGCTACGTCCCCCATGCTTCCCAGATATGACACGCATAAGGAAAGTCAAATCAAATAATCAATAAAATTCGTGAATTGTTCGTACCTTGGGTATATCCAGCAGCCGCTGCATACTCTGCCCACGAAGCTAAACCATCATTATCTTTGTCTATCTTGGGCATTTGTTTTTGTCCTTCCGATGTTAGATACTCCGTCATGACTTTTTCTATCCAATCACTTAATTCTTTTTCAGATACTTTCCCATCATGGTTGCTATCCATCTCTTTTAACATTACTCTGAAATCGTAACCAAGAAAATATGAGCACCATTTACTAAAAATTGCTCCCAGAAATGTGAGTTTTTATTTGTTACCACAAATCTAAAATTCGTAAGAATATTTAACGGCTGTTTTAACTGAATTTTACATTAGAGTGACCACAGTAAATCCGTGAAACTTTAGTAATACTAAATAGCACAATTTTATGCAAATTCCATTGTTTTCTATTGTTTAACGAACACTATTTTGTACTATTTAGTAATTAGTGTTTCACGCATTTACTGAGCTGTGGTCACTCTAGTCATTTTACTAAAAATTGCATAAACKACATCTATAATGCAGGAACTATAAGGGAAAAGTAGTTTTCTTTACCGATAAATCTTAATAAGTGTTCCACAATAACCAATTCACCCTGATCATTACATTATAGATAATTTTCAAGAATAAATTCATCACAGCTGTGGGATCCCTGTGGACGTACAGACGTTCTTTCGACAAACAGGAAAGTTTTCTTTCAATTCATAGCTATTCATACTTATTTTTAGTTTGACAGCCAGTTTGAAGTAATTAAACTTTGATTTTTTTCAAGCCAATCACGATTAAAGACGTGTATAAATGTCATAAAAAATAAAGTGTTTTATAAAGAGAAATTATTTGGTGAGAAACGGAAATCTGCACTGACTTCATTGCAATGGGACAAAGGAAAACACTATTCAAAACCAGTTCTGTTTCTAATAAAATCCTTTAAAAAAGCATAAAAGTATGAAAGCTCAACCAGTATTTTCAAATCCATAAACTATCGACAAGTCTGAAATTGCAAAGCTGTTACTAATGAAATATTTAATGTAATTTACATGAGTAAAAAATAAAAAATAAAAAATGTAACTTTTCTACGAAATTATTATAAACTAAGATAACGCTTTTTGACGCGATTTTACAGACTTTTATCAGTTATCTCAAAACAAAATCATTGTATTTTGGCTTCTTGAAGTTTTAAGTGTGTTTACGTCCACGTCACAAGTCGATGAACAGCGTATTCTACGCATATTAAAAGATATGTATAAATCATTCTTACCTTATTCTATTTCGCATTCTTTTTGTTTGCTTTGGTATATGAAGGTCAGCTGTATTGTCGATTTGTAAAAATGCCGAATGGTCAATCGGCTCGTCTTCGTAAATCTCAGAATCCTCATCTGCAAAATCCGAGCTTTCATCAACGTCACCAAAGGGTGTTGATTCAATCGCGCCAACTAGAACTCGGAAACAACTAACTAATAAAAAGATTTTTATCATATTTTCCAAATATAAATAACTCCGAGGCATTATTATTATCTATAAAGGTCGTGATAGGGGTCCTATAGTAGCATAATAAGAATCTAGTACAGAGTGATATTGTCGTATCTTTGTTGATATTTTTTAATGTAGATTGTTGCGTGACGTTACAATAAATGAAAGCGCGTGATCATTAATCATGATGTCACACAAGATACATTTATGGAAGCGTAACAGACAGCTCGAAAAATATTGGTAAAAAGATTTCATTGAGCCATGTATCATGTTAAAAACGAACCATCAAAACATAAGAAAAGAGAATGGAAATGGTGAATAACTTTTTAATTTGATCTCCTTTTATTCAAATAAATGTTTAACTCAACCTCGACTAGTTTTAATTATATTTTTTTATTTCATTTTATTTCATATTTTCTTTTCTTTCGTGTTGGATTGTATGCATAATTTCCATATTATTTTAAATTTTAAATTGATATATTTTAACATTAAAGTGGAACTTTGAAACTGCAACATATAAAAAGAGCTATCTATCGTATCATAAAAACTTTGAAACACGAGGGCTAAAAGTGGGATAAAAGGACGTTTGTGTGAAGACAAGACCATGGATATAAAAGATACCTCACTCTCTTGTAAACGTTAATACCGCCTTTTGTTTAAAATCATTCTCGTAACCAAACCCTTCCTAGCTTTCTAACGAAAAATCGAAGATCTTCGATTAATCGCCGAGAATGGTCCGGGTAAGATACTTAAAATCACGAAAGCATAGTCTAGGACATGCCATGGTTAGATTGCTAACAAAAGACGTTTTTCTGTCCCAGTATAAAATCGTGAAAGGAAAACCTAACTGGTTTTCCTTGATTGAATTCTGCCTGCTGTTAGGACACAGAGGTAAAATCAATATCTAATTCAATATGGTCTTTTGATAAAAGCCAGTTTCCCAGAGTCTCATCTTTCCAGGTTTTGAAAGATAGAACTCTGGTCGCTAAAACTGGTGACGAATGGTAAAGTACATAATTGGTAAAAACGTTATCAGTTAAAGCTTAGAAATTTTAAAAGATTTACTGTGCTCCAATGTTTGGACCCTGGCGAGCAGGCCGCAACCCAATCAGATGCGCAATGTCACGAACTCTGGCTCGACTTCTGTCCTCTTCGCTCTGTGCTTTGGCTCCAAAGGCGTGGCTCATAAGCTGACGTTTTTGTTCCTGAAGCGTGAGCATGCGCTCTTCGACCGAGTCCATCACGATGTACTGTGAAAGAAAAAAACAGTAGTTAGTAATAGGCCGGTAACAGTGAATTAGAGACTCAGCCCCAAATGAAATTGAAAAGCAACCATGGATTGTTTGGCAGGACAGGGCAACCATTTTGAAATCGCACCGATGCATGGAGCAAAATGCCTCACCGTTTTAAACTGCTGCATCCCTGGTTTTACATTAAATTTTACTTTGTATTTGTAATGCTAGGGTTTAAGTTTCGTTCAGCCAAACTACCTAGAAGCGACAGTGCTGATAAACGAGCCAGCGGTTGTCGGTAAAATCGCGGGCTCACCTGAATCCCATAAAAAAATGCCTATTGTTTGTAAAAAAAACTCAAAAAGCTCATTTCTTATAAGTTTAGAAATTTTTTTATTATTTTGATCTATTAACCAATGCCTAAGGTTTGTTTTTATTGGATGTAGAACTTCGATCAATTTTCGTGTTAGACGCGGAGTTTAAGTCAAGCTGCGATATTTATTTGAACAATTTGGCGAATGCGCATAACTTTTCGAACTTTTCGAACTATTCCTAGGAACTGACTTCGAACCCACAGCAAGTTTGATAGAAGACAAAGCGAGGTTAACACTGACAAAAAAAGAAAGAAATATAAATTTAAGGAATGCCAAGCGTTTTAAAACGAGAAGCATGCATTTGCATACTTATAACTTTTTATATTGTTAAAACTCGGTTAGATGAGGTCACAGTTACCTTGGTGACGATCACTTCTTTAGTTTGCCCCATTCGATGACAACGATCAAAGCACTGCTCCTCCACAGCTGGGTTCCACGCCTGTTGGAAAATAAAATAGTTTTTTGTCAGAAATAACAATACATAGTTACTGCTATTCTGGGTAGTCGATATCCTGGGGATTTGGGGAGTCTTCGCATAGAGATACACGCAACTAAGAATGACAAAATGCTTTGCTCGCAAGCTTGTACGAGAATTGCATAACTATAATGTGCATAATATTCAATAGTTTTATTAGCTGTTTACCCAGAGCACCCCTCGGTCTTAGCTTAGATGATTGGACGTTTTTTTCAATTTGCCATAATCAGATAATAAGGATGCTTCTCATGTTACCGGTAATGTTGCTGACATGATTGGTCACGATGGTGATGATTAAACTGTTAATGAGGATGATGGTGATGGTGATGAGGATGTTGGGGATGATGATGATGAAGCATGAGCGTCATGTATGATGATGGCGATGATGATGAGTAGTTAAAGTACAAGTTGTTGCGCCAGAACCCATACTTACAGGGTCCATAAGAAAGACTCTCGATGCTGCTGTCAAGTTAATCCCCGTTCCTCCTGCACTCATGGACAGCAAGAACACTGTGGCTGCGTTACCAGGCTCATTAAAGTCATCCAACGCTTGCAAACGCTCATGTAATCTCATGCGTCCATCCAGGCGTAAGTGTACGAAGCCATGCTTGTCAAGGTACTCTTCTACGATGTTGAGAAACGAGGTGAACTGCGACACAACTACGCTCTTTATAGAAGGGTCTTTATCTCGTATGGCTTCCAAGGAGCTTATTAATGCATTGATCTAAAGGGGAAAGTAATTTTGTCGATGAAAATGCAGTTAATTGCTAAACTCAAAGCCACGTCAAAAGACAACGACAACATATGGTTACATTTGGGACTGGGAGCACGACAGTACGTAATTTACGCCGCCCAACCCAAATCTCTAACAGGACTCTGGGTTGCAAGAGTAACGTCGCCTGTGTGGCAAAACCAGTCTCACAGGTATGGTTATTGTCGATGCCTGCAGACTTTAAGTGTGAATGGAGTCTTTTCCTCTCCCTTGCCCACAAGAGTTTTCACTTCTCCGGCTTCCTTCTCTCCGATAAAATGTTTTTTTTTTTCTTTTTTTAAATTTATTTAGTATCTTAAAAAATTGGACGTAGTGGACGTGCGCGTAGAGTGAGGGCTGTAAGAGTCTAGCACCAACCACCCTACCTTAGTACTGTCTTCAAACTTATCCTCCTCGTCAACATCAATTGCCGTCTCATTATTGGTATTTCTCTGTTCTTCTGGTACACGTAAGAGATCGATTTCATCCACTGGAGCTCTACACATGGGACACTTAGGCGCCAGTCCCTCAGAGTTCAAAACGTCCGTGATGCAACCGCAACAGAAAACATGGGCACAAGGCGTAATGACTGGGTCGTTCAGGGACTCCAAGCATATTGCGCATTCTTCGCTGTCACCAGAAGCAATTGCTTCCATTAGGACTTTAATAAGTCTAGCTCGGCTGTCATCATCATCATTATCATCGTTGTCGTCAGCTGCACCATCGTCTGAAAATACAGAAACAAACAATTTGTTGAAATGTCTTTAATTACAACTGTTATCATTAGTACACACTGATCAAGACAAGGACCATCGGGGAAAAGACTAACGTCAATCAAACAAAGTGTTCGGTACGATTGCTCTGCCATCTCGATCAGCGCGTAGCAATGAAAACCTTGGTAATGGTATGATTTAAAGCTAAGGCTAGACGGATGAGTGGAATAACGTTTTCTATAGTTAACACCATACCTTTATCCTGTTTGGCACTATCCAGAGCTTGTTGCAATTCTTTCAAGGCTTCTTTGCAGAGTCTTGGATGAAGACACATCTGACGAAGTCTCATCAGAATAGCAAAACAATGGCCATAATGTTTCAGCACAGAGTCGTGTCTAATATACCTAAAAACAATAGAATAAAAAAGGAAATAAATTTCGGTTGTCGTTATTCATTGGAATATCAATAGACCGATGCATCAGTTCTGCTTAAACATGGATAACTCGCAAATCGAACCCTGAAACAACTTATGATCCAAATCAGGCCAAGGCTAACTTACAGATCAAACCCTGAAACAACCTCTGACTAGCTGATCTAAGTCAGTGCACAGTTCAAACCCTAAAACAGCCTCTGGCTGATCTAAGTTAAACAACAGCTAACTCACCAATGAACTAGAGATTTCCGATTTAGCGGATTAGCGACAGTATATTCCACGCTCATTAATCCACCCGGAATATAGCCTGAGTATCAGGTCTTCCGAGGGGGAGGGGGAGAGAAGGGAAGGAAGCCGGCTCTCTCTTTCCCCTCTCCCGGAGAGCCTGATACTCATGCTACTCAGAATATAGGTTAACTCAGTAAA